GTTAAGGTTTAACCGCTATTAGATGTTCACTTTAAGAGCGGTTCCAGTGGAACCGCTATCATATACAACCACATTTTTCATTTTCGTATACATCCCAGTCGCCCCACTTATCCCCAAATAACCCTCACTCTCGCGCCTCACTCACCCATTCCTCTTAACCTTGCAAATCCCACGGCCAGTATCTCCTCCTCACTCCCGGCGAGCCCTAGCCCCCTCACTGCTCCCCCCAAGTCAGCCCTCACCCTAATCCAACCTCCACCAAAGCTCCTCGTCAACCGTACGCCACCCTGTGAGCCACCGCGCCACACCTCTGTTCTTAACCTCCTCCGCAACCTCTGCCACCGAAACGACCTTGAGACTATATGTAAAACATGTGCTTGAATGTATATTCAACCAAGGTTTGGCTTGTTTGAATGTATTTACTGTTATTCTCTTGCATTGTGAATAATATAGGAGAAATAATTTTGACAGAATTTCTTTATCGTTTGTTGTAGGTGGATTTGTGAAGTAGATAGGTTCTTGGATCCCTCTTACTGCGGATTTGGTGGTGCTTGACAAACCAATTTGGGAACTTGTTGAGACTGTACGCCCTCAGGTTAACCATTTGTAATTTGTTTTAATTATCTGTTGGATCTTAGTGAAAAGAAATTTCATAATTATTGGGTTTACTTACACAATTATTTATTGGTCTGTATCATACGTACTGCATAAGTAGTGGATAAATACCTTGGAAAAAATGTATTAGAAAAACGTAAGTACTGCATCACATGAAGTGAATAATGCAGTTTCACTTATGCTGATTGTTGTAGTTAATTTGCAAGAATAGAAAAACATAAGTAGTGCATCACATAAAGTGAATAATGCAGTTTCACTTATGCTGATTGTTGTAGTTAATTTGCAAGAATAGAAAAACATAAGTAGTGCATCACATAAAGTGAATAATGTAGTTTCACTTATGCTGATTGTTGTAGTTAATTTGCAAGAATAAAAAAACATAAGTACTGCATCACATAAAGTGAATAATGCAGTTTCACTTATGCTGATTGTTGTAGTTAGTTTGCAAGAATGGAGATCCCCGTTGGTAGAATGTGGATGTATCAAAGATTGGATGGTAACAAACATGTAACAGATGAATTTAGAGAAGGAGTGTATAATTTCCTACAATATGTTATTGCTCAACCTATGTTTCAAGAACAAGGTGAAATGTTAAGATGTCCTTGTGTTAAATGTAAGTGTAAATTTTTCAAGTTTGTTGATCAAGTTGCATGGGATTTATCAAGAGGGATTCATGCCTAATTATTATTGGTGGACAAACCATGGTGAAGAGTCGCCGGAATTTCCTGCAGTGGTTGTTGAGAGATCACATGGAACTTTTCAACAAAGGGAAGAATGAGGTCCTTTCCATCAAATGATTATGGATCATGTCGGACCGTCACTTGGATACCAACTTCAAACCGAGAGTGAAATTAAAGAAGAGGACATGGCAGAAAACCCTGATCCTGATACTCAAAAATTCTTTGACATGCTTGCTGCTGCGCAAGCACCATTGTGGGAAGGATGTACACATCACTCTGAATTGTCAGCATCTTTGGAAGCTCTAAGCTTGAAATCTGATTATAATATGGCTGAAGGATGTTTTAATAGAATGGTCCAATTTATGGGAGAGACTATGCCAGAAGATCATCGAATGGCTACGAATTTTAACCAAGCTAAGAAGTCAGTGATAAAATTGGGTTTGGGTTGTCTCAAAATTGATTGTTGTCCAAACGGATGCATGTTGTATTATAATGAAAATTCATCTACCTACACATGGAGTCTACTAATCCTATGTTTGTAGAACATACCTAGTTCACCCAGCCCTAACTCTCCTAGTTCTGTTCGACCAAGATCCATGGAGTCTACTAATCCTATGTTTGTAGAATGCACACCTCCCTCAACTCAGCAGGAATCTCCTGTAGCTATAGTAGGAGAAACAATTCCTACTACCTTCTCTACTGAGGCGACATTTGGTCAACCTACACAGGTACCTGGGTCAGTCGCAACTGAGGTTGAGTTTGGAAATATGGTTGATCAAAGGCCATGGTTACAAGCAGACAAAGGAGAGTAAGTATGTTTTAATTTAATTATAATTCTTTAATATGAAATTTCTTAATAATATCAATCCCACAATATGTTTCAACACAGTTTTATACCAGCAAATGGTCCTCCTGCTATAATCTCTACAATCATCAAACAAAAATTTGATGAACCAAGTCCCACTTGGAGAAAGGTTTCACTTGAGCTTCGAGATAGATGGTTTGGAGAGTTCAAGGTAATTTGAATTATAGTTACATTAAACAATGTCATTTCATTCTTATAAATTAAATGTTTGTTGTGTATTTTATTTATGCAAAAATAGTATATATGGGATGTGGAACAAGAGCAAGCCATAAGATCTGTTTTTGATAAGAAAGGTTCTCGAATTTTAAAAAACTCAATGAACAAAGTTAGGAATGGTAAGGATACGGGAATCTGGATACCGCCAGCTGTTCGAGCATCTTTAGACTTACATTGGAGTTCTCCAGATTTCCAAAACAAGAGTGCCATTGCCAAGGCTAATCGAGCTCGTTGATAAGGGTGCCTCGACTTACTCGTGGGGGTTCCATATCTACTGCAGCTCACTTTGAGAAGATGGTAAGTTTATTATATTTTTATATAAGTAATTTAATACAATATATTACACTTTAGGTAATGAATTTTGTCACCGCTCGCATAAACGTTCGAGATGTCCCTAGACGTCGAAACGGATGGCGGTGATAGTCACGAAAAGATGGTTTAGACTCGCGTTTATTTAAAAATGTGATCATTGCTCCCGAGGTGCTCAACAACTGAACTATCCTCTAATAAAAGCAAGGTTTTCGTAAAAAGGTTCTTATGGAGTTGCCACCAATGTTTTGACCATAAACATTGGAAAAGGATAAAAAGGCGTTGATTTTAAGAAAAACCAAACTTGGCCATTATAACCAGAGTTAGGTAAGGGAGTTAGTTACGCGTGGGGAAGGTGTTAGCACCCCCACGACGCCCTTTCCGGGTTCTCTATGATGGATTAATTCATAAAGTAAAGATTAAGAGAAATTACACTATTACACTATTTTATTATACAATATTGAAAAATGGCTATCTACATGATTCTATTTTCTATCGCATACATAAAGCAATAAATAAAGCAATAATAGAGAAGAGAAGTGAAAAGAACCTCCGTAGCAAGCTTTTTATTACAACTCTTCAACTGTGAGAATGCATTTTGGCAATCCCCCGCACTACAAAGACTCTCCTCCCCAAATACAGGACCGACACTACAAAAATTCTAAGAAGAATTGAATGCCAGAAGAAACTTCTAAGAGAGGAGTGAGGTGTGTCTAAAAAACGCAAATGAGACCCCTATTTATAGTTTTTTCAGCCTATCAACTTGGGACGGCCGTCTGGGGTCCAGAAAACAGGGACCACAGTCTGCAGAGGTTGGGATGACCGTTTGGGGGTTGGGACGACCGTCCCAAGTGGTGATTTTGAGTGAGACGCGCGTCTCACATCTGGGACGCGCGTCTGGCCTGTCTGGACGACTATCCTGCTTTCTGGGACGACTGACTCGAGTGTTCTAGCCAACTTTTGTGTTTTGGGACTTCAGGGAAGCTTTCCTTTCTTCAAACGGAAGTCGGTTGATGCCGATGGATGTTCACCGAAGCTTTACCCGCCTTCAGAGAGGAAATCTTCTAGTCTTTATTGAGAGGCCGGGCAAAATTAGGGGTTTACAGGTGTATATCTACTGGTTTGTATTTTCACTTGGTATTAGTGGAACTTGGCAGATTTGTCAAGAACTGGATGTAGCTCTTGGGAAGAGTGAACCAGTATAAACTCTTGTGTTGTATCTCTGCTTTTATCTCTTTTCATTTCTGGTATATATTCTTGCTTTGCTTAAAACCAAATCTGCCTAATAAAAGATTGGATAAATATTAATCATTCTTCCACAAGGAAAGCGTGTTTTTCGAAAAATATTTCTAAAGTTCAATTCACCCCCCCTCTTGAACTCAACCATTAATTCTTACAGCACAGTCCTTGGGACTGTTGTTGTCACATCTTTTGAGAGATCAAATGATGATGCTATGCGATTGTGGCACATGTGGCTTGGTCATATGAGCGAGAAGAGGATGTCTATACTTGCTAGTAGAGGACTGCTGAAAGGTTTGAAGATTTGCAAACTCGGTTTCTATGAAAATTGTGTATTTGGAAAACAGAAATGAGTGAAGTTTGGTCATGCAAAACACATCAGCAAGGGGATATTAGAGTATGTACACTCAGATGTGTGGGGTCCTACCCCTGTTAACTCATTGGGTGGAGCTCGTTATTTCCTTACTCTAATCGATGATTATTCCAGGAAGGTATGAATTTATTTTCTGAAGCAAAAAGATGAAGTGTTCGAGAAATTCAAACAGTGGAAGGCCATGGTCGAGAAGCAAACTGGACGATCAGTCAAAATATTGAGAACCGACAATGGTGGAGAATTTTGTAGCAAAGAGTTTTAGTAGTTTTGCAGAAAGGCAGGTATAGTGAGACACCATATTGTATCTAGAACACCACAACAAAATGGAGTTGCAGAACGGATGAATAAGACACTTCTAGAGTGTGCACGATGCATGCAAATCAACACTAAACTTCCCAAATCATTTTGGGCTGAGGCGGTCAATACAACTGTATACCTGGTAAATAGATCTCCATTAACTGCGATTGATCTGAAGATTCCACAAGAGGTATGGTCCGATTGACCTGTAAACTATTATGATTTGAACATATTTGGTTGTCCTGGATATACCCATGTGAGAGATGGTAAACTTGGGGCGAGGGCAAGAATGTGTATATTTCTAGGGTATGCACGAGGGGTGAAAGGATACAAACTGTGGTGTAATGAAAAGTCATCTTTACCCAGGATCATTGTTAGTAGAGATGTCACATTTTACGAGGTGACAATGGTAAATCAGAAGCGAGAATCTTGTAGAGATCAAGCACTAACAAATCATGGTGCTGAGAAACAGGTGGAGTTAGAGATTGACGTTGAGAAAATGAATCAAGAAGAAGACACAAATCAGCCGAGTAATTTAGGTACTAACCAACCTGAAGTAGAACAACTAGATGAACCCGACAACAGGGATGTTAATGAAGAAACTAGTGAAGAACCATACAACATTGCTACTGGCAGAGACAAACGAGTAATTCAGAAACCTATAAGATATCATAACTCTGCTACTTGTGTACTTGACTTGTCAAATGCAGATCATATAGCCTTTTCTTTGGATTTAGAGGATGGTGCGGTAGAAGATGAACCACTTACCTACCGTGATGCAGTAAACAGTAAAGAGTTAGAGAAGTGGCTAATAGCAATGAATGAGGAGATTGAATCTCTTCAGAAAAATCAGATGTGGGAGCTAGTACAACTACGAAAAGGGAAAAGAACAGTTGGTTGCAAATGGGTTTTCAAGAGGAAAGAAGGAATCAAGGGCATTGAACCTCCAAGGTTCAAGGCAAGACTAGTAGCAAAGGGCTATACTCAAAAAGAGGGTGTTGACTTCCAGGAAGTATTCTCTCCTGTGGTGAAGCATAGCTCGATTCAGATCCTTTTAGCTATTGTGAGTACATTTGACTTGGAGCTGGAACAACTTGATGTGAAGACTGCATTCTTACATGGTAAGTTAGAGGAGAAAATCTACATGAGTCAACCGGAGCGGTTCATAGTTCCTGAAAAGAAGAACCATGTATGCTTGTTGAAGAAGTCATTGTATGGCTTGAAGTAGTCCTCGAGGCAATGGTACAAGAGGTTTGATGCATTCATGATCGGTAATGGATATGATAGAAATCAATATGATAATTGCATATACTCTAAAAGGTTTCTAGATGGTTCTAGGATTTATCTGTTATTATATGTGGATGACATGTTAATAGCAGCAAGTAACAAAGCTGAAATTAGTATGCTAAAAACTCAGTTGGAAGCAGAATTTGAGATGAAGGACTTAGGTGAAGCAAAGAAGATTCTTGGGATGGAGATTCATAGGGAGAGGCATTGTGGCAGGTTGTGTTTATCACAACAAAATTATATAATGAAGGTGCTACAATGTTTTAATATGGAGCAATCCAAACCAGTTGGTACTCCTTTAGCTGCACATTTCAAGTTATTGTCCAAAGAGTGTCCAAGAACCAAGGAGGAGGTGGAGCATATGGCTCGTATACCTTATTCCAATGTAGTTGGAAGTCTCATGTATGCCATGGTGTGCACCAGGCCAGATATTTCACATGCAGTGAGTGTAGTAAGCATATTCTGTTGAAACATTCAAGGACTTGATGTTGAACTTGATGGATATGAAGCTTGTTGATTTTGATGATGATTCAAGAACACAAGACTTAGAGAGTTGAAGACTTGTTTTATAGTGTAATAACTCTGTTTTGATTAGATTGAGTCTGTAATATTAGAGTTTGAGATAGCCAGTACATAGTCTGCACCTTAGAAGCTTCAAAAAGCTCAAATTTATCAAAGAGGCTCGGCTTTAATCGATTAATTGGTGAATTAATTGATTAAAACAGTGAGAAAAACCATTTTCTGTATCTGCTCACTGGTTTAATCGATTAACACCCCTGTTAATCGATTAACAGGACTGTTAATCGATTAACAGGTCTTTTAATCGATTAAAACAGAGAGTTTTGGGGTTCTGTTGATTTTGGCTATGTAATAATCGATTAACACTTCATTTAATCGATTATTTCAGTCAGATTTTGATTTTTAACTTCAAATCAACCCTATTTTCGAAAACCCTAATTCCAAGACTCCTAGTTTCGAAAATCCCAATTCCCAAACCCTAATTTCTCTACTTAAGCTTCTCTATGGCACTCAGAAAAGAAGAACAACCTTTTTCATACAAAAGTTAAGTGCTGTGAGTGCCAGAGAACTGTTTGTTGCAAGAAAAAGGGGCTTTTGGAACCTGGTGTGGGCTAGAAGCGATAAGAATCACTAAGTGGAGTTCTTAGTGGATTGTGTGATGTGCCGTCTCTAGGGAAAGATGTTCTTCATCTCTTGTGGATTTCAAGAGAGGTGTTTCTTTACTTTATCTTTTCCATTGTAATTTGTTTGTAACAACTGTGATTATAGTGACAACGTTAATCCTCTATTTGAGTGATTAGCAACTGGATGTAGGGTCTTTTGATCCAAACCAGTATAAATCTCCTGTGTAAGATTCTATCTCTACTCTATTTACATCTACATAGTTTTTAATCGGTAAAATTTGGGGAAAATTTTGAAAACCAAATTTTTGTTAAGAAACCAATTCACCCCCCCTCTTGGTTTTTGTCCGACGACGCGAACATTCCGCTGCGCGATTCTAACAAGTGGTATCAGAGCTTGCTTTGATAGTCATTCAAACTTTTCGAAAATGGCCGGACAAAATCAAACTTTTGCCGAAGGTGCGTCTATCAACAGACCCCCACTTTTTGCGGGTCAGAATTATCCTTTCTAGAAAGTAAGAATGCAAATCTTTTTAGAGTCTGTTGATAGAGGCGTTTGAGATGCTATTTTAAACGATCCTTTTATTCCTAAAGTTTTTGAAAATGGAGTAGAAGTACCAAAACAATTTTCTAGATGGTCGGATGAAGAAAATAGGAAAGCCCAATATGATGTTAGGGCTAGAAATATAATTTCATCTGCTTTAACCCTTGATGAGTTTTACAGAATATCCATTTGTAAGAGTGCTCAAGAGATGTGGGAAAAACTAAGAGTAACCTATGAAGGAACCGATGATAGTGACTCAAGTTTGGGGTCAAGCAATGCGGAAGTTGAAGCAAATATTTGCTTATTGGCAAATGACATCATTTCTTCTGACTTTGAGATAAGTGATTGTCGCCGCCGTCCGTTCCGACGTCCTGAGGACGTCTCGAACGTTTATGCGAGCGGTCGCGAAAAGATGGTTAAGACTCGCGTTTTTTGTTAAAATTGTGTTCATTGCTTCCGAGGTGCTCAACACTGAACTATCCTCTAATAGAAGCAAGGTTTTCGAAAAGGGGTTCTTTTGGAGTCGCCACCAATGTTTTGACCAGAAACATTGAAAAAGGAAAAAAGGCGTTGATTTTATTAAAAACCAACTTGGCCATTATAACCAGAGTTGGGTAAGGGAGTTAGTTACGTGTGGGGAAGGTATTAGCACCCCCACAACGCCCCTTTCGGGTTCCCTATGGCGGATTTATTCATTAAGTGAAGATTATGAGAAATTACGCATTTACCCTATTTTATTCGTACAGTTATTTAGATATGGTTATCTACATGATGTATCTACATTGCATACAAAAAACAATAAATAAAGCAGTAAAGAAGAAGATAATTGAGAAAAACCTCCGTAGCAAGCTTTATATTATGATTCTTGTACAAAGAGGACGCGTTTTGGCAGTCCTTCGCTCTACAATTGTTCTCTCCTCTCAATTACAGACTCGACTCGACTAAATTTTCTAGAAGAATCGAATGCCGGAATACAAATTCCTTAACTGATTGTTACCTTTTAAAGGCAATCAGAAAGATCATTCGAGAGAGGGAGAGAAGAAGACAAGTCTCTGAGTTGTCTGGTGTGTGGAGAATGACAAATGAACCTCCTATTTATAGTTTTTTCACTTCCTGGAACTTTGGGACGGCCATCTGGGTTGGGACGGCCGTCCCAAACACGTTTTCTGCATTGTGCCAATCTGGGACGGCCAGTCTGGGTTGGGACGGCCGTCCCAAATGCAATTTTACAAAGGCTGAGACCCCCTGACGTTTGGGACGGCCGTCCCACATCTGGGACGCGCGTCCCACTTGTTCTGGGCCAGTTGGGACGGCCGTCCCAACTACGGCACGGTGGTCTCGGCCTGTTTTGTCCAGCTTTCGCGTTCTGGGACCCCCGGGAAGCTTTCCTTTCCTGTTTCGGAGTGAATTGATGCCGATATATGTCCGTTGAAGCTTTATCTTCATGTAGGAAGTCTTCTTGGCCTTTATTAAGATGCCAGGCAAACTTTTCCTTTGTTTGTACGAGGTCTTTTTAACTTTTATCGTGCAGATGAGCAAGCTCCATGTTGTTGCAGGAGGTTTCCTCGGTTTTGGGAAGCCGGATGAACTCCATCTTTGGGCGAAGTTCCTCTAGCTTTTATTTTGAGAGGCCAGGCAAAATTAGGGGTCTACAGCTGCCCCCCCTTCACCTGCCTAACTAATTCGTTGGTTTTAATATGCCGACAAAATTAGTTGGTAGGGGAAGGAGTTAACCCTTTTGCCCGGCTATCCTTCGGATGCTGCTCCTTGCTGATCCTCCGGATGATAAATATTTTGATAGGTACTAACCCCTATCGGGTTTGAGCCTTCTTTTTTTAAGGCTCGGGTGAGTACTTACCCTCACCGGGTATAAGTCTGTATTTTTACTAGACTTTTGTGGGTACCTACCCCCACTAGGTATGAACCTTGTTCTGCAAGGTTTTGGTGAGTACCTACCCTCACCTGGTATGAGTTTACTTTTTGCTAAACTCTTGTGGGTACTTACTTCCGAGGTGCTCAACACCGAACTATCCTCTAATAGAAGCAAGGTCTTTGCACCCGTTTTTTGCAATGCTCCCGGTGAGTATTTTTACTCCACCTGATGCATTTTTGCTAGGTTTTTTGATAAGCCTCGTTCTGCAAGGCTTAGGTGAGTACGCACCCCACCCGGTGTGAATGATAAGCCTTTTTCGCAAGGCTTAGGTGAGTACACACCCCCACCCGGTGTGAATGATAAGCCTTTTTCGCAAGGCTTAGGTGAGTACACACCCCCACCCGGTGTGAATGATAAGCCTTTTTCGCAAGGCTTAGGTGAGTACACACCCCCACCCGGTGTGAATGATAAGCCTTTTTCGCAAGGCTTAGGTGAGTACACACCCCCACCCGGTATGAATGATAAGCCTTTTTCGCAAGGCTTATAGGATGAACTTTTTTGTAGTCAATCCTATGATCATCTGTTTTTTGGAGATGAGTTGACGGCTTACTGTTTTTGGTCATGCGTCTCTGGGGAGTATTTGATTTTTCTTTTTGACTTTTCTGTTTTAGTCATCTGGTTTTACCAGGGATTTCTGTATTTTGGCTTTTCTTGTTTTAGCCATCCGGCTTTTGCCGAGGATTCTTTGATTTTGGCTTTTTTGTTTAGCCATCGGCTTTGCTTAGGATTCTTTGTTGGTTGCCTCTTGTTTAGGCGAGGAATCCTCCGGGGATTTTGATTTCTATTAGTTGCGCCTCTTGATTAGGCGGAAATCCACTTGGTGAGATTTTTGTTTGGTTG